CTCTGAGAAAACCATCAAGTGACATCACTAGACAAGCCATTGCTCGAATGGAACCCGAAAGGGAAGCGGCGGGTTGTTCGTCAGTGCAAGGGTGACTTGGAGGAGGTGGCATGTGAAGAGGAGATGAGTGCATGTGGGCAGACTGGAGCGAGGTGAAAAAGTTGGCAGAAAGCAGAAGGCAATGGATATGCGCAGCTGAAGCCCTATGTTCCTCTAGGAATTAAAGGATACAACATCAACTGACACAACTTGTTTGCATCATTTATATAAATGAGTAAAATTGATTAGATATTGGAATAAAAATCAATATAAGATAATGTACATTCAGAAATAATGATATTAGCGTTATCATTGAGATACAATGGGATGAGAAATAACGTTTTTTATAGTAAAATAAATAAATAAACAACTTATTAGAATGTTATAATGTATGTGAAGTAAAATAGAATTTTAAGATTATTTATTATCATCCTCTGATTTGACTGACTGGTGGTAATAATATCTTCCATATCTCTGGTGTAGACTCGATGAATTAGGCAGGATTCAGTAATCCATCTCTCTCTTTCCATCTAGCTAAATTACATTTTAAAACTTTAATCCTCTCCCACAATCTTGTGTGTTAATGCATGCAGTACGATTGCTGAGTTGCTTTTTTCTAAATTACTTATCTTTGCGAGGTCAATCATTCTTACCTTAGTTAAATTCTAATGTTCCGACAGACAAGCGCACTACTCCTGATCTACCAGTTTGTCCTGTATAGCTCACCTTACTCCCAGTCACTGCAAGGTATTTGTAAATTATATTATTTTGTTAAATTGAGTCCACCGAGTCTTTTAGCCTGAATGTCCCTGAATGAGTGAGTGAGTTTGTAAACTTGAATGTCACCCTAATTCCTGCTTTATTAATAATCCTACGTAGGACCTCAGGTGTCCCCTCCTTTAATAGTAAAACTGTCTACAGTGACAGAAATTACGGCAAGACTTCTCGAACCCTTAGGAATTGATGTTGCACGAAAACCAAAAAAACAATTAACTCATTTCTATGTCAATCAGATGACACCACAGAGAAAGATGATAAAACCAACATCATGTACAAAATAAGTTGAAACGACTGCGAAAAACACTACGTCGGCCAAACTGGACGCACTCTTCATCTTCGTATCCATGAACATAAGCTAACCGTCAGAAGACATGAAATCCACACCCTCATTTCGACACACTTCATACAGAAAACCACGGACATAAATTCGACCGGGACAACAGGGGTTGAGATATTAGGTAGGGGAAATACCAAGAATGCCGGAGAATTTTTGGTAGCCTGGTATTCCAGTGAATCCTCAGTCAATAGAGACACTGACAAAATTTGTCGATCGATAAGGAGGAATTCTCACACACACAAAGGATCAAACTTGAAGTCAAGGAAGCAATCAGTACCAATGCAGTTAGCCTAAAGGGTGTGAAAACACACACAAAAACAACTAATCACGACGTGCAAGGTAACCCACCAGGAGATGTGACTAATAAACTAGTTGAAAAACCTGAAAGCTCACTTCATCAAATTGAAGTATGCCCTGAAGATGTCGCCTAGTAGGACAATGAAAGCATCTCAAATGAACCCCCCAGCTAGCTCAGAGAACACAACTATATCAAAATCATCCACCTGAGTTACAAATATTCTGCATCATAATTCATATGAACTGTCGTCAAGATTTGACAGAATAGTTCTAAAATATTTGGGCGCCGAGTGAGAAGTAGACATATGTAAAGAAATTACATTTGTAAAAGCTGTTTTACAAAAGTAGACCAGTATTTGTAAATCCGAGGTCAAATGTTGATCACAGCTCATACAAATTTGTTTATTATACATGTTGATACCTGCTTTATGACTCATGATTGGACAAATTTTTTAAAAACAAGAGATGTTCCTTTTATATATAAATCTGTGTTATGTAAATTTCGATTAATTTTCCTGAAGAAGTTCGGACCAGATTGCCGAACGAGACGTTGGAATTGATCATTTCAAACTCACTGAGATGTTACAAGTAGAATTTTTAACAAATGTCTTTCCCATCATTCCTAGACTACAGTCTTTATCGCGAATCCATTTCGTCAAAAGTACAAATTTGAATAAGGCATTCAGAAGACAAATTTCACGAGATGATATCATAACGTAGTTTTTTCACAACCACTTTATAACTAACATTCCTAACAATTATAAAATAAAATGCATGACAATTACTCAGTTATATAGAAATAAAGTACATAATAATGACCAAACATATTTAAATAGGTCAAATAGTCCATGGTGGCCGAAGGTTGAAGTCTATTGTATTTTGTACACACAGTTTAGGATGTATGTGATTAATCCAGATTGCTTCCAACACCTTTAATAACTTACCTTGAATTAGATTTTTGCGATGAAATAATTGTGTTATTGGTGGAACCAATAGAATGTTCTAACGTCGTCGAAAAGAACATGTTCCAAAGTTCCAGTGCAATTATTCTGAATAGAAATCCAACATCATCCATTACAAAGCACAAAATCAATATTAATGACTGTTTCACAGTTATTTCACATAGCTCTAATCTAAGTTTGGTTATTAAAGGTGATGGAAGCAATCTGGATTAATCACATACATCCTAAACTGTGTGTACAAAATACAATAGACTTCAACCTTCGGCCACCATGGACTATTTGACCTATTTAAATATGTTTGGTCATTATTATGTACTTTATTTCTATATAACTGAGTAATTGTCATGCATTTTATTTTATAATTGTTAGGAATGTTAGTTATAAAGTGGTTGTGAAAAAACTACGTTATGATATCATCTCGTGAAATTTGTCTTCTAAATGCCTTATTCACTAGTGACTAGCCCTATCCAGGCAGTTTACCTGGGGTTCTAGCGGGAAGCCGTGACCAGTAGGGTACAGCAATTTGAAGATGAGGCAATTACTCATCGAAGAAGATATCGCGAAAATGTCGCGCTATGTCGTGGATTGGTAAAAGTAAGAATTCAAGGACCACTGAAACGGATCTCAGTAGTTCAATGGTCTACGAGCTCGCCGTGTAACCAAAAGATCCAGGGTTTGAACCCCAGTGGATGCGTACTGTGAGGAGTCCCAAACTAGGACGAAACCGCTGTCCAGTACTCCCAGGGCTTCCAAAGGTTCTCTAACCAATATCAGCTCATGATGAAATACTCCTCCAAATCCCTATAATACCAATACTTGAAAATTATTTAAATATATCAAAGGGACTATTTGTTTTACGAAAGTACAAATGATAACTTTGAAGATAATGGACGATTGTTTAATTGTCATTCAGACAATTTTAGCAAAAAACTGTCATCATGACTGTGCTATGGATGGAGTTTATTTTCTTCCCCCTCATGGATAATAAAACAAAACTTGGGATTAAAGCTGTATCCTTTACATTTGTTTATCTTGAATAGCTATCAGTTAGAAACCCGCTCTGTCAACCAAATCTTAGTCAGCTGGAGAGTATGAATAGTCGTCATACAATATATGTGACTCATTATTAATTATATTGGAATACAAGTCCATGTTTGCCTTGAAACCCCTTTAATAAACCCCTTTAATTTCAATTTACTACTCATAACTAATTATTCATGAGATGGATATACGTAAGTTCTAACGAGGAAGCGTACAGAAAAACTGTGGTCAGTCAAGGCACTCATTGTGACCTGTTCAATGCATCATGCTGATGATAATAATAATAAAACTGTGACTACTTGTCATCCAAGAAGGCCATTGAATAATATAGCTCGTCAGGCGCAGACTCGAATGAAAACCCAATGTGAAATGGCGATTCGGGCATCCGAGAGTGACTTGGAGGAGATAATTGTTTACAGGCAGTCGTGAAGCTGGCTAAATATGACTGTGGGAAATATGATGAAGCCCTATAATCCACTCGGAACCTAAGAACGTCGTAACAATCATAATCGTTGCTAATATGTAAGAAAACTAGAAATAAATAAAAAGCATTTACTTGTTTGGTGATGGCTACAAATCATAAACTTGGATTGCCGCGAAAAGGACTTCTAACAGGTTAGTGACCTTTATCAGCGGTTTCCCGCTTCGCTAGCTCCATACTGAATACAGAATGTCCGGCCAGGTGTCCAGAAAGAGTTAGCAACAAGAAACCATGGAAAATAACCCAGCCGATAACCTGCTGCCTAACAAATATGTAGACGAAAATTGAGATGGATGGATTGGACATACTCCGAGGCGACTTTCGAATGACATCGCACGCAATGCTAGAGTGTTTGAGTGTGACATGGAGGAGATCATGTAAGTTGAACGAAGAGATGAAAAACTATGGGTAATCGTGGACCCAGATGAAGACGACAACAGGGAATAGAAGAGTGTTGCACTCAGAACACAAAGGAATTATAATAATAATAACTGAACCGAAAGTGTATGCTTTTCCATATTTAGGATTTGTTACCTTAATATTCTTCCCCTCCCCCTCCTCATTCCAAGTGACTGATAGTATTCGAACTAAGATTCAAACAGCATACAAGTAAGTTTGATTTCTTAAAAATAATAATATTCAGGCATCGACTCAAGTAACTCGTTTATCAAAATGATGCTGACCAATGCGACCAGTTGTATCAAAAATATAAATAAGTAATTTTTAGGAAAGGATCAGTCTATTCAATTTAAAATCTACTGTAAACAATAACTATGATTTACTACTAATGGTGGTTTTTTTGCGGAAATCACAGGTTGAGGATGTTTCGAGTGACTGAATACACGTTGTTCGAGTCCGATTCCCTCCATCCACAGATTCCTAAACCACACTTGACTGCAAGTAAACCTAAGAAAAGAGGTAGGTTTAGTCTAGTTAGGCCAGTAACCTTAGCCTGTAGAAAGACAAAAGACACCACAACTAGTTAAATATAAAAGGCTAAGGCTTGAAGCCCCTAATAAGAAAGAGATGAAAGAAAAACGATGACAAAGAAGATATCACTTACTATGAATCCTCGATACCATTGTTTAATTTGTTTCTTTGTGAAATTTGTATTCGTCCTTAAGAATTCTAAATCTTCTTTTGGTAACTTTTTTCTAGATCCCAAAATATTTCCCATGTTCTTTGTGTTTGGACTTATTTAAGTTTTTAGAAGCATGTAAACTAAGCAGCAATTGAAACCTAAAATGAAATAATAATAATAATGATAAAAGTGAAAATTTCTATATAATAAAGAGTTGATTAGAATAAAAGATAGCCGAATTCATTAGATTTCCTTTTCGCCAAGAAAACCTCGCTGTATACAGACGGTGGTCTGCTTACATCATTGTTATTACTTCCTTTAGATCCTAGAGGAACATAGGGCTTCAGCCGAACGTCTCCACTGCGTTCGGTTCTTCACCGAAGTTTTCACCTGCCTCCGCGTCTGCCAATATGCTTTCATCTCCTCATCACATCACATCACCTCCTCCTCCTCTTTCATGTTACCCTCGTACTGACGATCAACTAACTTGCGGCTTCTCATTCAGGTTCCACTAGGGAGATTATCTGGCGTGTGGTGATTTCACTTGATGATGGGTTTTTTTTTCGCAAACTAGGGTCAATCCACCTCCATTTCTTCCTGCATACTTGGTGCGCAGTCGGTTTTTGCTGGTTGGTTGTTTGGTTATTTCGTTCGTCCCCGGAAGGAATTCCTGTTGCTGATGTTTTCTGGTCAGTCATCTGATCTTTAGCGAAGTATTGAGCGAATGCAGCTGTTGATGAAAGTCTGCAACCTGTTGTATATCCTTTTCGTGAAGCGCACACAGTGCAAGTTTCTGAGGCTTATGGAAGGACCAACTTGACATTGATGTTGACAATGTGAATATTGTTCTTCATGCTGATTGAGTGCAGAAGATTTCCGAATTAGTTTCAGGTTGATGAAGGCCCATCTCGCTTTTCAAATTCTGGTTCACTTTGACATTTTCGTTTGTTCCGACTGCCTGTGGTTGAATCGATGCTGCCTAGATAAGTGAAGGAGGTAACCTCTGTTAAATCTCTCCCGCTGATGGTGATCGGTGCTGGTTGTTGTTGCTGATGACGTTGGTTGGTTATTTTCATAACCACCGTCTTCTCTATATTCACCTGCAGTCGTTTCTCCACTGGCTCCAAGTCTCTTTAACCAGTTTGTTGGTTTTTTCTCCTGAAAGTTTTCGATTCTCTATGACAATAGACACATATCATCCACTTGAGAAATCCAAATCTAGAGTCTTCATATCGAGTCGATGGATTCCTGTCTTCTCACTCTCTGTGCACAATCTGACGCATAATCCAGTCCATCACAATCAACAATATCATCGTGGGTGATAATAAACAGCCTTGTCGTACTCCTGTATTCACTTTGAAAGCCTAGTTGAGTTTTCCATTGTGGATCACCTGGCATGTGCCACTGTCATATAGTTATTGAATGGGGTTGGTAAGGACTTGAGGCATGCCGTAGTGTCAAAGTTGAATAAAGTGATTATCATCACTAAATGACACTGACTGAGACAGACAGATATTTCATGAAACGGTCAAAAGAAGGATTTATGGATGTCGTTATATATATGATGTCGTTCCCTATTGGGTAAAACAGTTACGGTAGGGTTATTTATTTTCTTTACTCTTTCAGACGCATAGGTAGTGTGATAGACAGGCAGACAGGTGCCAATTTTCACACGTTTTTATAATAGAACGGATTGTAACAGTATTGTTTCGAAAATGTATAGCTCAGTATTCACATTTTGCTGACATTTGAAGGAAAATCAAAGCTTCAGTCGAGTGAAATATAAATGAAGAGCTGAACTCATCAACTGGCTCCGCGTAGTTCGAAATTAAATACATAAAAATTCCTTTCATACTTCTGTTAGCTTTATTGAACACGCACTATAATCGAAATTTAAAGGGGAACCCTTGTTTCAGATTAACATCTTGATACAAAGCAACGCACTGCCAATGAACTCACAATAGTTATTGACCATCGCGTTTCAGTTTATATGCTAAAATTAAACTCTCTTTAATTCAAACAAAATAAGTACTTCACCTTCAAATACCGTAATTACAGTGTATTCAAGTGTTAACTGCTATTGTGGCCAGACTGAGATATGTTGAAATCTCATCTGCTCTTTACCTGACTAACACAGCAATAGTCAGTATTTAAGAAGTCTGAATCCTGATTAATAGATCTGTTGCTCTTCAACACCCGCCCCACTTTCCCTCGTTTAAAAGACCGATTGTGAGCAAATCACTCTTTTTAAACCAAACGACAACCGCAGTGGAATTCAGGTTGCATGTTTTCTTATATTTGGGCTCAACATTTGAACGTACCTGAGAACTGAATGCAAGACTCATTGCCTCAAAATTCAAAGTCTTATCTACTAGTTTACTGGTACACGAGAGTCACATCTTGTGCAACGGTTATCACTGGTTACCCACTGAAGTAATTTTGAATTGAAGGATTATGCCGAACCAATACACTGATTCCGTGTTGACATCCAGGGCTCCTCTAATGGATACTTCGGCCTAGTAGATAATACTTGGAAATTAGAAAAAGTGAATGAGGAATTTGGTTCTCTGTAGGAACATCATCAGTCGATCGGAATCCAGGTGCATCAAGATGGCGAATTACAAAATAAGAAGCCTTCTTTGGATTCTCCTGTTAGCCACCACCAAAAAAAATGAACATCATTTTAACCGCACTGGATATAGTCATAGCGTCCTTAGTAGGAGTTGGCGTGTCAAGATGGATCGAGCGATTCTGCCGACTGACGATGAAATTCAAAGAATAAACACTTCAAAAACTGTATAATACAAGTGAAGCACAACACTCCTTCATAGGATGCGTTTATTTGACAAAACACACCAATTTCATCCTGAGTACAATTTATTACTCATAATGACATCAAGGTGGTAATATAACTTTCAGATTTTATTCATACAATGGGGACATACAACCTCATGATGAGATTAAAAAGCTAGAAATACATTTAAACATCCGCGGCTACACTACTATCTATCAACCACTTCCCTATGCGTAAAATTCCGTTTGATTTTGTAAAGCAATCTGAGAAATAATTTAGGTGAAGCTTACTACTATGCGGTCGGTCTTCACCTGTTCCCTATAGGCAAATATCTTACTAACTGGTAGAATAATTAGATTTGCCGCCTATATTTAATAATAATATCTACATTTTTTGGACAAATATTTTCAACTTTTGTTTTTAGACTATCGCTGGCTGTCAGCCAATTTAATTATATCTGACTAATTAGATTAACACTACTCATGATCAATAACGATGATTAATTAGTTGAAGGATTTCATCATGAGCTGGCATTAGTTAGAAAACCTTTGGAAAACCTGGGCGTACTGGACAGCTGTCTTGTCCTAGTTTGGAACTGTTCGGCAGTACGCACACACAGGCTCCCTAGCGACTGTCTCTATTCATCAGGCGGTGTCCTGAGGTTCTAGTGGGAAGCTACGAAAAGTAGGGTAAAGCAGGTTGAAGGTGAGGAAGTGACTCATCGAAGAAGATATTGCAAAGTGGTAGTGGTACGTCATGAATTGGCAGAAGTTAGAATTCATGGAGTGATCATTGGATAGGGTCCCAGAGGCTTAATGATCTACTAGCTAGCTCGCTTTGTAACTAGAAGTTTATAAGTGCGTATTGATGAAGAGTTCCAAATGGGCTAGGATGAAACATTTATTGAATAACGCCAGGTTTTAAGATGGTTCTCTAACTGATTTGAGCTCACGATGAATTCCCCCAACCAATCAAACAAAACAATCCCTAGAAAATCAATACTGGAAAGTGAGAAATTAGTTTATCTAGGATGATTCATTGGTTCAGTGGAAGGTCCAGGTAGTAGTTACTCGTCTGATGAACTCCTAACTCCCTGTAGATTTAAGGTGACAGTAAGCCCTGAAATGAAGAGGAACTGGGCACAGGGCTGAAAACTCCAACCCATAAAAAGAAACAACATCACAACTGAAAATTTCGGTGATCAGGTATTGGCTAGCAGGAATTTGATGAGCTACATGTTTTATCATTAGCTGAGATCAGCAAAAGAATCAACAGAAAACCAGAGAGTACTGGACAGCTGTTGCGCCATTGGACCAGGTTCCAGGGTTTAAAATCCAGTGGACGCATACTTTTTGAAACACAGATGTATAGTACTCCCAGGTTTCCCAATTGTTCTCTCTCCAATCGTTGGTGTCAGCTCACCATGAAACCTGTAAATATTCCACTGTTTGTAGACTTATGAATGAAAAAGCGAATACATTTGTCCCCAGAAGTTGTTGTGATCAGAGGTTTATCTATTGCCAAAAAAACGGCCGATTGTAGTCGAATTATAATCTAAAGACTGAACATTCAGTGTTACTTTAGTTAAAATGCTGGTTCCTGTCTATGCTACACCAACTGGCAACTATCTTTTGCATTGAATGAATACACTTACTAACTTGTTCAGGGTTAGAAAGAAATTTCCTATTTTGCTAATTAGTGTAAATAAGTTCTGTTTTCTCCCGCTTACTGTTCCGATAGCAACCTGTAACACTCACTGTCAAAACGATAGACATTTTGTCTGTTGACAAAGCTACAAAGCTACAGAGAAGCGTTTTTTACTTAAAAATAAACCAGTATGACTAAGGAAGTGAAATCAGCATTCTGTTAATGGAACTTAATTATAAATATGTATAGATGTATGCATATATATGTATATATATATGGGTAATCAGTGGGCATTTCTGTGACGTCACATTCAATACCATTGAGTTTAATCTTATTCTACAAGAAAATCTCTCACTCTCTCTGTCTATAGCTCTATTTGTAATTCCTTAAGTAAGCTATAGGCAGCAACAAAAAACAAAAAAAGAAACTAGACTTCTCAAGTTTATCAGTATGCAAAGACATACGTTTCAAGTTGATATATATTCTTGAATCCGCGTGTGCGTGAATGAGGGAGTGAGTGAGTGAGTGTCTGTGTGAGTGAGTGAGTGAGTGAATAAGCCTTAGTAAAATATGCTCATTCATAATAATTTGATTTATCCATTCTTTTCTCTAAACACCTCTTCATTAGAAAAGTGACTAGAAAATTAGAGAAAAG